TGTACCAGCTACTAGGAAGACAGTTAACTACATCCCAGCTGAAACCAGGACAGTAATTTACACAGACCATGTAGTGATTGCTATAGACTCACTTTTTTTTTTTCCTTATTTTGAAGTGATTTTTGCAAGTCAGACTATAGCTGAAGTCAATAAATCTTCCACAGCTAAAGAAAATAACTTCATAGTATTCAAATAAGGCACATGTTCCTAATGTTGCATTTCTAGAACTGAACTGCAATCCCTTAGGAGTTTTTTAAAAAAAAAAAAAAAGCAAAACCACCAAAAAACCTCCCAAACAAACCCCAAACCAGTGAGAGGGTAACAAAAAGCACTCATCTATATAGCATTTAGTTCTTCCAGAGCAAGGAATTAAGTAGCAAATGAAATCACTACATGCAAGTTGTATAAATACATGCATACCGAAAACTCTTACACATACAGTTCCTGAAAGCAGCTCTGCTCTGACAGAGCAGGAGAATGAGTATAAATGCTAGTACCCAATGATTACAGCCATTATGAGTCCTCGGTTCTCAAAAAAATAAGCTGCTGCTGACACACGGAGTTACAGAAAGGTACATTAACCAAAGGAGTTCTCCCTTTGCAAAATGTTTGACACACTGGCAAAACCACAAGAGAGAAAAACAAACACTTCTGTACTTAAAAGATATGTTCTTTTCAGTGACAAAAAAGCAGAGTAGGAATGTTATCTAACCAGGTAACAAGTCTAACATCAAGTATGTACAAAACAACAGCAGTCAGTCTTCTACAGAGGAATTCCTTCTGCAACAGGTAAGTAAACTATTACCATTCATGGATTTTAGGGCCACAGTGAACTGTGATGATTGGTTAGTTCACTGTCCTACACAAAACGCAAGCCAAAATAACCTCTCAGTACCTGTATCACTGCAGACTTTATTGCCACATACTACTGATACTTCACGTTGTATTTCCCGAAGTACACAATGTACAAAAGAACAAAAGAAGTCAAGTATAGAATTGGATTGCAACCTCAGGGCATGAAATACTAAGATGTAAAAAGTATTCACATTTGATTGAACGTACTTGAAGTCTGAGAATTCATTACAATGTATAAAGTAACTTCCTCATTTTACGTCTGGAACTAAAATATGGTATTTAAGCAATATTTCATTAGTCACTATATCTTTACAACCACGTTTTGCAGAGTAACATTTCTTAGAAATTTGTAGTCAAATCTAAAGAAACCAAAGATTTATCAGAAGGTTTTATTTTTAAAACATAGCTCACCTCTGGGTAAAGATTGAACCTTTGTAAGGTGTTAATCACTAAAGGATATTCAGTTAGTCTGTCATTCATAATTGCCCATACTCCATTCCAAAATGATGGTGCCTCAATAATGATCTTGAAGTAGGAATAATAAAGACCCTACAGGAGAGCAGAATCATTATTTACAATTGAAGAGGTCACTTCTGCTTCACGAACTGCCATATACAAGCTTCATCTTAAAATCAAACTTTGTAATGTAACAAATAGGACAAAATGATTCAAAATTACTATCCAGTTTTCCAAATCTCTTCTCTTAGTGCAAGCTATTAGAAACAAGCAATGTGGGTTTCCTTCCACCAAGTTTCATAGCACATCTCTCATTTGGGCTGGTAACTATGCACTAGCATAGTATTTCACAGTTCTCAGAATAAAAGCAGCCAAAAGATGTATATATATGCAAAAATTATTAATTTAAAAAATAATTAAAAAACCAGCTGCAAAACAAGACTATAATTGAGTACACTACAAGGTACTTGTAGTTTTGTATTTTAGGTCCTCTAGAATCACATTTTTTAATTATATTTTAGGTGAACTGGGAAGACATACATTCACAGTGATCAGCTGCAAGACACACAAATGCTCTGCATGTAACAGTGTAATGCATGTTAGTTGCAAGATATCAATACTTATCCAGAAGGTATGAGGAAATTTTGGAAAGCCCACAATCACAAGATTACAGACAGAAGTTTTCCAATCACTGAATCTTTATTGAAACATAATCTAACCATTTCCGTGCGAAAAGCCATTTCTCTTTCTAGCGTGGACAGGTGAGAAAAATGACGGTCATTTTCAAAAAGAGTTGTTATGTGACACCTGTTAAAAAATAATAATAATTAAAACTGATTAAAGAGTTTTAGAACCTGTACTAAGTCATATATACCAAGGAAGAACTGGCAAAATGTTCAATGAAACCCAAAGTTCACTTACAAACTGCTATTTTAATTTACTCTAATATTATACCAACATTCTCCTCTATTCAGACTATTTTAAATGGAAAAAATATGAATCCATAGAGCATTTAGTAAATTCTATCATGGAATTAGTTATAATAATCAATACGTTTTAACTTAAGTGCAGACACTTAAGGATCAAAAGTTTAATGCTATTAAAACTATCAAATCTACATATTAGGAAAGAAAATGCAAATATCTGACAAATTAAAAGAATCACAGAATAAAAGCTGATGAAAATAATGGTACACATACAAGTAGTGTATGTTTTTTCCACAAAAACCTTCCCTGACTTGTATTTTAATGCAGTTATCTGCCATTATATATAGATGCGCTTACCATCAAAAGTATATTTAAATAAAGGTGCAACTATGGAGGGGGGGAGGGGGGAAGCCAGGAAAAATGCAAATAATTTTGGAAGGAAAACTTGCTATTTCCAAGAGGAGCTTCATCTCCAGAAAGGATGGAAAAAGAAAAACAGAGCAGTGCACACGACTCTGCTTTTGAACAGGAATTTGCAAGAAACAAACTACTAAAAATCAGTAGTTCTCTTTGGGCTGGGAAACAAAAACAGAGTGGCAGACTCTGTCACTTTTTATCTCTGCAAAAGCAGCTGCTGTAAGTCACTTCAGAAGCCATTTTATTTCAAGTCCATATTACAAAATGGAATGGCAAGGATTAGGATGGAACCTGAAACACGAGGATTACATTGACAAAAAGTAGTTGAAAGGCCATTCTTCCGCACATAAAGAAAACATTGGCGAGACTTCTCTGAAGAGCTTAGAGAAAACGTGATGTAAAACTAAGAAATTAAAGCAGAATCTAAATAAGCAGAACATAGGAGAAAGACTTACCTGGACTTTCAAAACCTATTGAGGGTAAAAATGTCTGTTAGTGCAAATGCATCTGAGTTTGTACAGCTAAGCAACAACTTTCTACCTGGAAAGCAGGCTTCACTCTTCGCAGAACAGGCTTAAGAAACCCTTCACATCAGCTTCACAAGAACAGAATTATTCATCTTAGAGACAACAATTCAGTTTTGAGAGGAAAGATCTAAATATAAATTATCCTAATAGCTTGTCTAAATATAAGTCACAATAATATTTTTATTATTTTAAAATGTCATATTACTCTCAAGCAATAAATTTAACCTTACCAATGTAGGACTCCTGCAAAAGCAGCTGTAAAGGAAACAAAACAGTGTTAAGTTACTCAAATATTTAAAGCACTGAACTTGAAATCATGTTCTTTAAAGTAATTACAGTACTACTTCAGAGATGCACAGAAGGTACTCAGCCTCCAGACGAACAGAATAAGAACATCTGAATTAACTTTTATGGCCAGCTCTTTAAAAATCTGAAATTATGCTAATGGCATTCAGCAATAGGCAATGTTCCCACCTATATCCTGCATCGCTCAAGTTGATCCATCAGAATCTAATGCACCCATTTGAGCTATCAATAACACAACTGAACTATAAGCTTTTATTTTTAATAAGCATAAATATTTTCAACACTTTTATGATACCTATTTGTGACTGTTCACTCAACTGCTGCTCAGATTTTGGCTAACACACAGCTCATGCTAAGGCCCGATGTATGCTAGGACTGTTAGGGCAACACACAGGCAGGACCCAGTAGCCAAAAAAGGGTTAAAGGCCATTATGCAGCCATTATCACCTGCAGCTTGTTGTCTCCTGCAGCCATAATCCTCACATACTCATTGTCTGGCAGTTTCTTCAGAACCTGCTAACTCATGGGAATGGTATAGACCAAAATTCCAAGCTGGAAGGTATAAATACATCAGCTTACCCAAAAAGTTTTGGAAGCAGATCCAGCAGCAGCTGTGCTGGTGAGGCTTTTGTGCTTCCCAGTGTGATACAGGGGACACCTGCACCATGACGGAAGAGGAAGGATGAGCATTCCCACCATTGGCTAGGTAACCGTTTTGCTCATAGGTGCACAAGTTAGGAGCTACAAGTTGAGTTACAAATTAAAGAACTAGGGAGTTAGAAACCTCATGCCTTAAGTGATGAATTAGTGAATTCCTGTGCTAGCCTAGTCTGTACAAAGTGGACTAAGCACTTGTTTGTCATGTTTGTTTGTTTTTTTTCCCTAATGAGCTCACAAAATAAAGTTTAATTTACAGAGAACATTGTCCTGTAAGTTTGAGAGATCCAAACGGACCGTGACAATCAACACAAATCTAATTGAGACTATAACTGCTAAAAAAGGTAGACTCTGTATGTAATAACATGCCATTTGTCCATTCAGAGACTATCTGCACTGTTGTCATGTAGGCACAGAACAAGGTAGGTAATTTGAGAGACAAAAGGAAAAGGCAAATAATCATAAAGTGGTGGGTAAACAGTCTAGGTCTCTAACTTCTTGAGCATAACAAGACTCACAGAGAGCAAGAGCCACTCCATTTTGCTTGGGCAGCATTCGCAACATATCCAGAGCTCACCATGCAAGCAAAGCCAGCATGAGTGAGGGATAAAGGGTAGGCATTCAGCAGGACCACAGTATTACTCCTAGACCAAAGGTGTCTTGATTGCCCTCTAGCACACTGTGGCTCTCTGCCACAGAAAGGTCAGGTAGACTGGTTGCCTTCAATCCAAGAAAATCTTTATGGTTAATGAAGAGCCCTCTTATTCACATAGGCTATAAGAACCAGAGAGAAAGAGGACAAGCACTCTCCCTGCTTCCACCTAGCTGCAGCTGGAAAGGTGCTGAGCACTGTGTCCCTCTCCAGGGTGCTGATCTGCACACACCTCCCACAATTACAGGCATCCGGCACAGCCCTCGCTGCTGTGACAACATGGAACAGATGGGTCAAATTGCTTGCACATAGGTAAAACATACATCAAATGACTGCACACTGATGCAGAATATGGTTGGAGAGTTAGGGAATGCACATGTGTTCAGACTGCATGTTACATGCGTATGGTGGTCTGCTTCTGGAAAGCAGCAGGGACAAGAGAAAGAAAAACACCTTTGCAAAACTGCTAGATTGATGTGGAAGAGGAGTGGGCTCAATGTACACTTCATGCCCTAGTATATATTCCCAAACCCCATGTTCCTCCAACACAGAGCCTGGAACTGCTGCTGCTGGCAGTATTTGTTATCATTGTCACCACAATGCTGCTACTGGCAGTACTTGTTATCATTGTTGCCACAGGTCATAATGCAACAAACTACATTAATATTAAAATTGAGGTTCATAAAAGTTTTGTATACAAAGATGTGTGAGGTGAAACTGGGTAAGATTGAAAAAAAAAAAGAAAAAAAGAATTACCTAAGGGGGGAAAAAAAATTCTAAACTACCTGCCTGTACAATTTAACATTTACCTCAAGTTACATACTTCACAAAGTAGCTGAAGTTGTACAATACCACATTCAAACTTCTAGGAGTTTTTCAGCTTCACTTCAGTCACTGAAGTAGTCTTCTCAAAGAGAAGCCTGGATTTCAGTTAGATAATGAATAATACCACCAGCTTTCATTTAAAACTTTACATTTTTACATATACTTTCAAGAAAAAAATTCACCAAAGGATTGCTTGGTATAGTTCACATTAAGTGGAATTTAATGTCTTAGGAAAAGTTTCAGGAGCTACAGACTTTGTTTATACTAGGGACATTTACATTAGTTCTCATGAAAAGCTGCAAATTCCTTTTTCAGAAAAGCAGATATGGTTAAGAGATAGAGCTAATGTGCTTATCTGGAATTCTATCAGCAACACAGCAAACAATATTCCATAAACAAACATGTTTTGCAGCAATTGTACGGAAAGAAACAGAGCAGCCCATTAGTTATTACTTAGTTATTACTTACTGAGTCTCACATTTGCACAAGGCATTATTTCATTTCTCAGCAACATTTCTAAGATTCCCAGTAAGATTAGATGCTATAATACGTTTACATATACACGCACCCCAACTATAAAAAACCACCAATTTTAAGACAGATCACACGTTAGGTAAGAATATACGGTGAAGTCAAAATAAATGCACATTAGCTACCAATACTGTTAATGACCTCAAATTCATGTGGTTCCAAATAAGCCAAATGGGCAGTATTTCATTGTTGCAAACAAATTATCTATTAATATGGAAATTACATTTCAGATTCAAACATAGCACTTATTTCATTGAGAAAACAATGTATTTAAATCTGATTCTTCCCTTCGGTAATTGTTTTATTGAAAGTCAATGCATTAAGTGTAAATACATTCACAGTTATTTTAGAGAACTTCATATACATTTTTAGAAAACTTCACAATATCACTCTATTATAAGTATAAAATGAAGACCTCCTATAATTGCACAGCACTTCATGTAATTACTCAGATTTCAAGAGACAATGTGCTTAATTATTCATAGACATCCACTATGAGTCCAAATCGGCATTTTTCAACAGACTGAATCCAGACTTACATTAAGCTAGTTTCTGACGGAAAACATGCAGATCAGCTCTCTTAAGTTACCATCCTTTGATCCCATTAATGTCCTTACTGGGAAGGGAATGAAGGAGAGGACAGGAGAGATATACTAGAGTCCTAATGCTACAAAGACTTATATAGCTACTATGTACTTGAACTTGCAGATGCCATTTTTTCACCCAACCTAAGAATACCTAAAAGCAGACTCTATGGTCAGATTTTTGCAGGCTAGGGCTATTACGTAAAATCTGATAGTTTATTCTTCAGATTTCCTATTTTTGCCTGTGTTCTGTTCTAAAAAAAGCAATAGGAATGGCATGTAAAAAGCGTTCGAATTCTGGAAATTAAGTACTGAAGAATAAAGCCGTAATATACAGAACTCACCAAAAGAACAACAAATGCTGAGATACTGTAATGCAACAGGATGTAAAACATACTAGAAACTGCTTAATACTTTGCAAATATCCCCAAAGCAATTAGGTAGGAATACAGCAGAACTGGGAACAATCAGGAATGTGCAAGCATTGCCTACGTCTACAGCTTAGTCAAGACGTTTCATTTGAGATTTTGTGCAATCTAGAAAGGTGTCTTCAAGAATAAGGCCTCAATTCAATGGTCATTTAAAAAAAACCCCAACATAATAGGGAAAAGTGTTGTTTAAGAATGCCCTTGAAAATCTGTCAACTTTATTGTTGCACATAAATTGGAGATAATTCTTAAGAGAAAAAAATCCACACCCTATAACAAAACTAGCTCCAGCTGTGGGAGCCTCTGTTTTTAAAATCTGGACCTTAAAGCTTAAGCAAAGCAACAACAAAAATTCAAATACCACTAAAACTAACCAAACCCCACTATTTCATATTTACTATATGTACATTCTTTGCTACTGCAAATACTGTATGCTATTACATACTTTGCTATAAGTGACAAGTCCTATTAAAAATATAAATCGCTCCCTGAAGTATTTAATTGGTTACCTGGGTTTCACAGCTGAATTCAAACTCCATAAATTATAAAGCGCTCTATCTAATCTGCTCTTGAATTTCAGTCAAAGGAAAGCATTTTTCAATTTTGACCATCAGTTTAACATGTCTTTCTATGTCATTTAAGTCACTACTAGTCTAGGAAATGCTGAATAAACAGAGGTAAGCAAAGCAATTCAGGAATAGTTTATTCATCAATTAGTTTGTAAGCTAAGGGTTGTTTCCCTGCCACTACTTTGCAAAGTAATTCATCAAACTGAAGAAACTCCCTTTGGCAACAAGCACTACTGGTGGTGTGATTAATAGTATCAGCATCTTTGGAATACCCTGACAGTCTTTTAATATAATACCTTTAAGAGTATATCTAATTGTACATCTGACAAATATGCTATTATTTAACATTTGTTAACTTTAGGAATGCATTTCTTATTTAATTTTGCAAATACTTTAGGTACTTCTTCCAAGACTTTGGCCATTAGCCGTTTTATTATTTACTCCAAAATATTCCCAAAGATAGCAATATTTGAATTTACATCCCCCTACAGTTGTATGTTCTTCCACCCGTAATCCTTCCAAACAAGGTGGTTTGATTACATTACTTAGTACAAGTTGCTTTTTTTTTTTCCCCCAGAAAGTAATGACTGTATAGGAGAGATCCATAAATACCTGGACAATTATTTTCCTACAAATGTTCTGATATCACATCAACTGCTACAATAACAGCTTTACAAAAGTTACCAGGTAGGAAGTTATTTCCTGTCCCTTTTCAACATAAACTATGTTTTTTTTGTTTTTCCAAGTTATATTTCCAAACGTATTTTGATACAGCTTACAACTCCAGAGAAAGAAAGGTAAAAAGAAGAGTATCCCCCACCCTCCCCAACGTATTCCTTCTACTTACCCAGAAGGAAAGTGAGCCACATCTTGCTATCGGATTTTATGATAAAGGCCTTTCTGTCATCAACAAATACTGTCAAAAGAAAACAAATACCTTAAGCATCAACTCAGAACAGACTCTGTAAAAGGAAACCTGTTTGAACTCTGCAGCATTAGTTTCTGTAAAAATCTTGACTTCAAAAATGCTGAAAGAAATTTCATACAGCAAGTTAGCAACTACACGTAAAAGCTTTAAACATTACAGATAGACTATTAAGGTGACTACACAATCATCAGGTTTTTAATTCCTGAAATAACTTTTGCAAAATAACTTGTCAAAAGAGGATTTCTACATAGATACATTATTGACGATTTCACTCATACAGAAAGTCAGCCTTTCAAAGAGTAAGCAACCCTCCCTCTTCAGCAAAGCGTTATCAAGAAATAAGCTGGCCATGCCAACACTGTAAGCTGAGCTAGTCAACACCATTAGAGAGATTGTTTTAACAAGAGTTAGTTACACAAACAGCACATTTTCCCATTTCTCCCCCACAGGATGCTAACGCGGTAAAAAGCCCTTTTCCTTCCCCTCGTCCCCGATTCTCGACGGTACCAGTGTGGGTCTTGTAAGCTTTTTTTTTTTTAACCTCCTCCGGTTGTGGCAGGCAGGAGGACGGGCACGGGGAGAGCGGGAAAGCGACCGGCCGCCTGCTGCTGCCTCAGGCAGCGCCAGGCACAACCACCCCAGGGGGCAGCAGACGCCGTGAGGCTACCGGGTGCCCGCTGCCTGGCCAAGGCTGTTCGCTCCGCTCCGCTCCGCTCCCCGCCCCCGGACCGCCTTCCCGAAGAAGGACGTCCCGGCGCTCCCCTTCCCCCGGCGGTAGGGAAAAGCCGCGCCGTGCCGGGCAAGTCTACCGACACCCGGAAAGAGGGGAGGGAGGCGAGACCGAGCCCCATCCCACCTCCCCCGGAGCGGAAGGGCTGCCCCCCTCCCCCGGCCGAGGGGGGGCAGAGGGAGCGGGGACAGGATTTGGAGGAGGGGGGCGGCTCGCTCCCCTCACCCCCCACCTCACCTCGGAGCTGGTCTCTGCAGACGCGCAGGAGCCTCAGGGGGCCGCGGCCCAGCGCGTCGCGCTCCCCCTCAGCCGCGGGCCCCTCCCTGCAGGGTCTCTGGGGGTCGCTCCTGGCTCCCCGCCGGCCGCCGCCTCCCTTCCGCATGGCGCGGGCCCCGCCGGGGACCTGCCTGCCGGGCGACTGCGGCGGGCGCCCGCGGCCGCTCCTGGGGCTGGCGCCCGGCGACTGGTGCTGCTGTTGCCCGGGCTTGAGCGGCGGCGACTCTTTGTTCCTGCCTCGGGTCGGGACGACCATCTCCGCATAGTCCCCGCCGGGGCCGGGGTGCCGCGCCGGAGGGAAGGGGAGGGGGGGCGGTCCTCAGCGAGGAGGTTCCCCCACCCCCGGGCAGGGCCCGGAGGCCACGGGACGGAGACGGAGGCGGTGGGCTGGTAGTAACGGGGTGAGGGGGGCAGCCGGTCACTACTCCAGCGGGCTGCG